TTCACCTTAGGGTTGCCATAAGTCAGAAACGACTTGAAGACACACAGCAGCAAAGTCCCATTGTACACAGCATGACTCACTTCCAGGGAAACATGTATAGGATTGTGCTACACAAACCTATCCCAGAAACTAGGCATCAAAGCCTCCCTCTACTGCCAGTGTAGATAACAGATGTTACCCCAAAGCCAAAATTCAGTCCCTATTGGCCAAGCATCCCATGGTAAATTGGAACCTTAGTCCATTGGGGCAATGTCCAGAATACTAAAGAACATGAATGAAAAGGTAGTTTAAATATAAGAGACTCTGATTAATACAGCTTTATAAGAACACCAAAAGATTTCATTTTCATAAAAATCAACGTTTCATGCAATTGTGCTGATCCAGCAAGCATTCAAACATTTATGAGTTTTGACACCGGGAGAAAAAAAAGAGAGAGAGAACTTTTCCCCCCAACCATGGTAAGAAATTGGACTCTTGATGAATCATTCTTAGGAGGAAGTAATAATAATAATAATAATAATAATAATAATAATATTGCCAGGACGTCTAAATAGCTTTCTTTTTCTGAAGTAATTACTGCACAGATACACTGCTGTTGAAATAATGCATGAACTAATCAATCTTGACTGCTTCATCAGAACTCCCCGTATAACATCTCTAAGAAGTCTTCTGTTTGTAGAAGCAAGCCAATTAATTTAGACTGTTTTCTTTTGTAAAAAAAAAAAAATCTAATTTGAAATCATTTATCTGCGTAGCTACTTGTCAAATCCTGTAAACTTGAGCATACTTTGCAGCCATTCATTAGTATGGCCTATTTAATCTATTTTTATACCTGCATGGAATTATGAAGTACATACATTTCAATTAAAAAAATAACTCCTATTATTACTACTACTACTACTATTCCTGCATTGTAAATGAAGATGTGCCTGCCCTCATCACCCAAGGTTGTCAAAAGACCAAAGCCAAATGCTCTGCTTGCTCTTATGCCTTTAAGAGAGCTTGATCTGCACAAATTGGCAGGTGAATCTTTTCATACATGGAGAGAAATATTATCCTTTTACTAATATTTCTGGATCATGCTGGGGTGAAAGGAACAAGAGCTGGCAGAAGAGTTGTCAAGCCTATTGTGATCATAGAAGCTTACTTTCTTCTCTTTTCAGCAACACCACATGGAGAGATTCAGGGTATTGTGCATTTTCCATGTTGCTTTATTTGCAGCTTCTTCAGAAAGATGCCTTTGTTAAGTTACATATTTCAAGCAGCCTGCCTTCTAATCTCACAGGCCAGGTTCAAGAAATATCTAAATGCAAGGTGTTCCTCCCTGCGTATATGAGCGTGTGTTAAGGAATGACAGAGAGAGCAAGAGCCGTGTCTTGCTAAACTGTGTTTCTTTCCCTTCATCAAAGTACGTCACCTTTAATACACAACGATTTGAAAACACAACATTAGAAGGCAGTTTCTAAATGCAACTCATAGTAATACAATGCATCCTATTTATTCCAGTGACCATAAAAAGCACACCTGGCATGGGCAGAACAGAGACTCCTGGCTGAAACAGCTCTTCTTTGTGTTTATCCAATTAATATTTCCGTTTGGGTATCCTTTCCCCTTGCCAACACAAAGATGGATTGACAGGTGCCACAAAGCAGGACAGTGGTCAAAGAAGTGTTCAGATCATGAACATTTGGCTGTTGTACACACACACACACACACACACACACGTTGTTAATGGGTATCTTCAATAGCAATTCAGTCTGTCTGATCAACATGTTTTGCTCATGACACATCCTAACACACACCTATTCTCCCTTCCTTCTTGCAAGAAACAGACTCTATGTAAGCGAAGACTAAACCAAAGAGGAAAGTGGAGAAATGTTGCAAAAAGATAATAGAGCAAGAAAGTGAATCTCCTGACACTATGGGGGGGGGGGGGGATTACAAACAAGGACTAAAAAAAATCATGATCACACAACAAAAGCAGCAGAAAGGATCCTGTAAGTGGAGGTTAATGAGTTATGAAGTAGGCTTTCATAGGCAAGAGAGCCATCCGTGAGCCACTCAGCATCACATCCATTTCTCTAGGATCACTGCCTCACAGCATTCAGGGATGCTTCCCTTTCTCACCACTTTCCTCAGCTTCAACCATGTCTGTCCTTTCTACTAATTCCCCAAAACATTTATACCAATTCCCTCCAGTCAGCAAAAGTGTTGCTCAGCCAGCTCTTATGTACAATTAGCCAGTAAACCCTCCTTTGCCCAAAGTTCACAGTCTTAAAGGCAACTCAGGAGTTCAAAATCCGTCTCCCAGGGCCTTGGCCAAATAACCCACCTGTTGCCCACTTTGGATAGCCAATCTTCTCATTATAAAAACCTATTTCTCCTTGATCCAAAGCAGGTATCACTGTGCTAGCAACTTTTCTTCCTTTATGGACTCCCCCCACCCCTTCCATTCATTCATTCATTCATTCTCATTCCTCCTTCAGGCTACAAATCCAGGCTTGGAACTAACTAGGATATGGATTCAAAGTAAACATGTCAGACCTCTGGCTAGAATCGAGCCTCTTCAAGAGACAGTTACAAACAGCCCCACAAATCCAAAGGACAAAAAACCAATATAGTCTGGTAAGCATCTCTACAACAACTAACTCCTGAGACCCCAAAAGTTCAACATTGCTTCATCATTGCGCATCAGACTCTCCAGTTCCAAACACAGGGAGCCAGCCACCAATTCTTCTAGTCTGGACTTTTTAGATAGATTAGATAGAGAAAGAAAGAAAGAAAGAAAGAAAGAAAGAAAGAAAGAAAGAAAGAAAGAAAGAAAGAAAGAAAGAAAGAAAGAAAGAAAGAAAGAAAGAAAGAAAGAAAGAAAGAAAGAAAGAAAGAAAGAAAGAAAGAAAGAAAGAAAGAAAGAAAGAAAGAAAGAAAGAAAGAAAGAAAGAAAGAGGCCAAGCCTCCTGCTAGCCCTCTTTCACAGGCACCCCAAGCCGGTTCTCTCTCCTGCAGCTTTTCTTCTCTTCTCTCCTCTCTGCTTTTCTTTCCTTGGGAAACAGCGCCAACCTTTGGCCGAAAGGAAAGCTATCAAGTCAAGCCAAGCCAAACCGCGATCACGCCGCAAGAAAGAAGGGGTGGGAAATCCGGGTGGTCAACAACAACAACAATGCTGGGTTTGACAGGTTTTTTGCAAAAGCAGTTTTAGAAAGCTCATTCCTGGCTCGCTTTTGCAAACTGGGGCTGCAGATTATTTCTCCAGTGCGGATGGATGCAGCCTAGGAGGAGATCGATCCCGGAAAGCAGGACCTGCATCGAGCCATTGAGAGGAGATGGACAGATCCCCAAACTCCCTTTTCTAACCCAGTCACCTACCTAC